AATCCCAGCACTTTGGGAGGCCGAGGAGGGCAGATCACGAGGTCAGGAGATCAAGACCATCCTGGCTAACACAGTGAAACCCCGTCTCTACTAAAAATGCAAAAAAATTAGCCTGGCGTGGTGGCAGGTGCCTGTAGTCCCAGCTACTCAGGAGGCTGAGGCAGGAGAATGGCGTGAATCTGGGAGGCAGAGCTTGCAATGAACCAAGATCGCACCACTGGGCGACAGAGGGAGACTCCATCTCAAAAAACAAAAAACAAAAAAATATAAACAAAAACAAAAAATTTCCTGATGAGCATAAAGTTCCCATCAGACCACATCCCCATCAGAATAGGTCCCCATTAGAGCAGTGTCCCTCTCATGACTGAGTCACCTCAGAAAAGGGGACTAAATTTACAATAAAATTAGAAATCATATTTTTAGATTAAAAAGATCAGAGTTTACTCTTTTGTCCCTTTAATAAACATCAACAATTACAAAGGCTGTCTATGTTGAAAACTTCTAACAGGTCGCGTTGGCCCAATCTTTTGTATGTTGTAGAGCCATGGCCTCCAGGACAGAAACATCCATAGGCAGCAGGTTGCTCTGGGGGTTGCACCCCATTCCCCAGTGTACTTGTGGGGGCTTTGCGGTCCCCAGCAAAAGCATGCCCTGTGACCCCTGCAGGGCAATCAGAGTCATTCCCCACACTGCTCAGAAGTGGAGATGGGCAGGGCCTTGCCTGCGGGTGGAGGAGCAGAAGAGGCAGAGACCTGGTGTAGCCTGGGACCTGCCCTCTGCCAACAGCCAGAGGAGACGGGAGGCAAGGCCAGGGCCAGTGCTGACCACTATGGTCCAGGCCCTAATGGGGTGGACTCCTGCGCTTCCCAGTGAAGGAAGTCTTCAGGTCTGGCAAAGCCGCCCCTGCCTCCCAGCCACTGATCTGATCCTCGAGATGCAGGGCCGCACCCACACTCACCATGGCAGTCGGCGTAGTCATGGTGACCGGGAGTGTAGTGTCCACACAGGCGTCGCAGCAGCAGGCGGTAGTGCAGCAGCCGCTGGATGGGCTTCAGCAGGAACGTGTTGAGAGGCAAGTAGCAGACCTTCTGCAGCTCGAACTCCTTGTACACCGCCTCCAACTTCTTAAAGCGTTTGGTAGCCTTTTCCAGTTCTGTTAGGACCTCGTCATGTCTTTGGAAGTAGCTGGTAAACTCCTGTGGAGGCGCAAGAGTGGGGCCTTTAGGTGAGGAGATGTAGGGGTCCAGGGAGAGACTGGCCTGTTTTCCTTGATGGCAGGCGCCGGCTGGAAATCCCCACAGGGCAAACTGACCGGTGGCCCAGCGTGCGCCAGTGGGGGCTTTCTAGCCTCCAAGGAATGCATCTCAACCCGTCTGAGATGCCATGTGACCTGTACCTCATTCCAACTAGAGTCACTGCTATGTGCATCACTAACTGGCCTCATATTACATGCACTGAGTGGATCAGGGCCGTCTCCTCACTGGACAGAGGAAGAACTGAGGATGGGAGGGCTGCAGTTGGCTATGTGGGACACAGTGAGGGCCCTGTCCTGGGGAGGGGAGACTCTGTCCTGAGAATGATGCTCTGAGGAAGACTGTTCTGTGGGGAACCCTGATCTGAGGGAGGCTCTGTTCTGAAGAGGATGCTGGTCTCGGGGGACCCATTCTGAGGAGGACAATGTTCTGGGGGAGAATCCTGCCCTGAGGTGAACACTGTTCTGGGGGAGTCCTGTCCTGATGGAAATGGGGACACTGTCCTCAAGGGAATGCTCATCAGTGGAGAAAAAGGTTCTGAAGAGAACGATGTTCTGGGGCTGGTAAGGGCCGTGATCTAAGGCAAACCATGTTTTAAGGCGGAGTCTGTTTTGGGGGTAGTTCTGATTGGAGGGAGACCATGTTCTGCGGGACCCTGTTGTGAGGGGTATGCTGTTTCCAGGGGCATCCTATTCTTGGAGAGCCCTTATTGAGGGGGATATGGGGAGGAGGGAACTTGTTCTGAGGGAATCAGTGTCCTGATGGGGCCCTGGACATTGCCCTGAGCCAGACTTTTTTCTGAGGGAAACAAGATTCTGAGGGAGACCCCATCCAGAGCAGGACCCTGCCCTGAGTAGGATCCTGTTCTGAGGAAGATGCAGTTCTGAGGAGACCCTGTTTGGAGGGTGATGCTGTTCTGGGGGAACCTTGTTCTAATGGGAATGATGCTCAAAGGGGACCCTGTTCTGAGGGGGCTGCTGCCCTGAGAAGGACTCTGTTTTGAGGGAACTTTACTCTGAGGGAACCCTCTTCTGAGAGCCTCAGGGGGATGCTATTCTGAGAAGACCCTGTTCTGAGAGGGCCCTGCTCTGGGGAAACCCTGCTCTGGGAGCACCCTGCTTTGAGTAGGATCCTGTTCTGAGATGGACCCTGTTCTGAGGAGATCCTTTTCTGAGGGGGCCCCTGTTTTGGGGGTCCCCTGCTCTGAGGGGATGCTGTTCTGAGGATACCCTGCCCTGAGGGGGCCCCTGCTCTGAGGGGAACCCAGCTCTGAGGGGGCCCCTGTTTTGAGAAGACTCCACTCTGAGGGGGCCCCTGGTCTGAGGGGACCCCGCTCTGTGGATCCCCTGTTCTGAGGGGACCCTGCTCCGAGCGGAGCCCGCTCTGAGGGGAATCTTGGTCTGAGGGGACCCTGTTCTGTGAAACCCCTTTTCTGAGGGGACCCTGCTCTGAGGGGGTCCCTGTTCTGAGGAGACCCTGCTCTGAGGGACCCTGCTCTGAGGGGACCCTGTTTTGAGCAGACCCCACTCTGAGGGGGACCCTGCTCTAAGGAAACCTTGTTTTGAGAAGCCCCTGCTCTGAGGGGGACCCTGGTCTGGGGGGATCCTGTTTTGAGGAGACCCTGCTCTGAGGGGGACCTTGGTCTGGGGGGACCCTGCTTTGAGGGGACCCTTCTCTGAGGGGACCCTGTTCTGGGGAGACCCTACTCTGAAGGGGATCCTGTTCTGAGGGGACCCTTTTCTGAGGGGATGTTGTTCTGAGGGGCCTCAGCTTCGGGACTGTGGTTTTGCTCCCATTAACAGCACTCGTGTAGGCAGCAGTCACCATGCACCCTACCTTTAACTGGAGCATGTTCCTGAGCAGGATGTCCCCGATTCGTTGATGGCCGCCTTTTGTGTGGGCTTTGGAGGGCGCTTCCCTGAGTAAAAAGAAACAAAGTCGTTCTAAACATGGTGAAAGCTTGCAGAAGGCACTGTAATCAGATGCAGGGTGACAGTTGCCTTGGTTCCAGCTGGAAGAAGGTTGTGAAGCTCTGAGGTGGAAGAGGCCGCAGGGCAGGGCCTGCCCTGGATGGAAGCTACTATTATGTGTCTGGCCATTCTCTAAAACAGACAGTAACCAGGCAAAAAGGGATCTTCTATTTTTAACTTGCTCCTTGCACTCTCTTTCCTGGAAGAGGGTGAATAAAGGGTATTATTATATCTGTACCTCTCCGCAGGCTCCTAAAAATATACTCCAGTGAAAAAATGGCTCTTCTGAATTAGTTTCTGAAGCTGGGAAGCTCCTAAGAGCTGTGATGATGAGTTGGTGTGGGAGTCTCCTGTGTGGGGGTCCAAGACCTGGGGGCCGAAGGGGTGTTACCAGAGTGCCAGCCTCTGCTCCACCTCGCGCAGGAAGCCTCTGTGGAACTCATAGATGGGATCGATGTTGGAGAAGAGCAATGTCATCAGAGTCGCAGGCATGGCGTCCTCCTTCACCACTGCGCTGCGGAACCACTGTGGGAAGAGTGCGGTGTGATGGAAGGCATGGCTGTTGTTGGGGACTGAGAAACTGTGCCCCTGAGGGCCTGTAGCCATAGGACACCCTGCAATGACCCTCCAGTCACCACCTTCAAAGAGGGTTCAGACCAGCCCTACAGCTATCCTCTTTGTTGATCAAATACAATGAAACTATCCTACATCAAAAGTTTCAAATGGACACTTTGCAGCTTTATAACTCCACAAAAACTTGGATCCAATGTTCTGACTGGACTTAGAATAAATGTTTTAAGGCAGATATATTTAACAAAAATATATACATACCAAGTCTCACGATTATCAACAGATATTTCTTGGCTGGGCGTGGTGGCTCACGCCTGTAATCCCAGCACTTTGGGCAGATCACTTGAGGTCAGGAGTTTGGGACCAGCCTGGCCAACATGATGAAACCCCACTTCTACTAAATAAACAAAATTAGCTGGGTGTGGTGGTGGGCACCTGTAATCCCAGCTACTAGGGAGGCTGAGGCAGAAGAATCACTTGAATCCAAGAGGCGGAGGTTGCAGTGAGCTGAGATCACGCCACTGCACGCCAGCCTGGGTGACAGAGTGAGGCTCCATCTCAAAAAACAAACAAACAAAAAAAAGATTTATCTGTGTTCAGATGAGATATTTATTTTTAAAAAAAGTAATCAAGGACTTTCGTACCACGGTAATAACTTCTAAATCCTTCAGGTATGTTCGTTCTGTAGCGAGAATCTCCTTGACTATGAAGTAGGCCTCGTCTGCAGGCATGCGCTGAAAGAAGCAGAGAGCTGTAAGTGTGCATCCATGGGACATGGGACCCTCCCGTGTCCGGGCAGCCTGAAGTTTGTAATGTTTGCTTTCTTCTGCTCAAGTTAACATCGTCATGGGATTTTCATCTTCAACTTCTGAAGGGATTTATCCCTGAGTAAAAACATAATCCTGTTATTCTTTTGGAGAAAAGAATTGCTGTTCAAATATCACCATATGTAAACAGGGCTGAAATTTATTATTGGTTTTGTATATCACTGCCAGTGGCATAGCTGGTCAGCAGACACAGGTCCATGAGTGTGTGTGTGCTTATAAATTATTAAACCTAACCCATACAAAAGTCATTAAAAAGAGCAAACAGTGTGCATTCTAAGTGTGCCTGCGTCAGAGCGCCAGGCTTGCCGGTGCACTTCCTGATGCAGATGTGGACCATACCCCAGGCCGTTTTCTGTGCCCTGCTGGAGATAGCCCAGCCCTGAGCACTCCTATAGCCAGCAGGGCTATCTTTGCCCAAGGTGCTGGCGCCGAGCAGGCAAGCTGGCTGTGGGGGACCCTCTACACCTCACCCAACACAGTGTTCCTGGCAAAGCACATGCCTCATGATGGCCTCGGCAGGCACTGGGTCCTGTCCCTGGAGGGCCTCTCCCCACCCTGAGCCCTCCAAGAGCCACCCTCTGTTGAGGTGCAACTTAACAGCCTCTTCTCCGCCCTCTCCCACTGCCCAGAAACCATGATCCTGCTCTACCCTGGCAGCTTGCCTGCCCCACCACCAGACTGTGGCCAGCTTCAGGGCAGGAGGGCCGTGCAAATACCCATGGAGCAGGTGTCAGCTCCGATCAGGGGCCTGGACACTGCCCCCTGCCCCTGTGAGGGTGTCCTACCAGGAGAAGACAGGCAAGAAGCAACACACACAGTCACACATCGCAGCACAGAGGGCTGTATAAGACACAATGCAGAGCAGAGGAGGGACTGGAGGCTGGGGGATGTGGCAGGCCGCAGCCTCACTCAGCGTGGACAGGTCAGCCCGTGGGGCAGGTCAGAGGTCAAGCGGCTGGAGCAAGGTGGGGAGGTAAGAGGGAATAGACAGGCTACTGGTGGGGAAGGCAGGCCATGTGGGCCTTCTGGACCCTTTGGGGTCTACCTGAATGTGCTGTGATGCACTTGGGCCCCAGGATGAGAGTAGATCAGGAGGGCAGAGAGGCTCCCAGAGGACCTCGGCACCAGCCGGTGAGACAGCCCTGGCTGGGGGACCCAGAGGGGTGAGGGGTGAGATCCTGGACACATTCTGAAGGTTGAGCCAACCTGATTCCAGTGTGGAGTTAAGGCGTGAGAATTGGAGGCAGGAGGGGTGACTGCAACAGTTTTTGGCCTAAGCCAAGGAAAAGACCAGCTGCCATGACTGGAGGTTTGGGAGGAATATCAGGAGCTGGGTTTGCAAGTGAGCAAGCAGCTGAGGTGGCGTGTGGGGTCATGTCTTCCTCCCTGTACGGCTGTGAAGTTCAGCGCAGCCTGCAGGGTTGTCCACCCCTCGTGGATGAGAGGACAGAGGCACATTTATCCTGTGAGTGCTGAGCCCATGGATATAGCCAGCTGTGAAGGGATAGCCCGCCGAGATGCTGCTGCCTGGAGCCCTCCAGTGCCCAGGTGCTGTGCCTCCCCTGCCAGAGTCCTGCGCACGTCCACTGCTGTTCTCTCAGCTCTTCCCCATGGCTGGCAGCCTGCCTGGCTCCCACAGCCCTGCCACTGTGTACCAGCTCAGTCCCCACCTCTTGGTGCAATGGCCTCCTCACCGCAGAGAAGCTGAACCACCTTTCCAGCCTTTAGGCTTTTTCAATTTTTTCTTTTTGAGCTTCATGATATTAAAAATGACTTTTTTGGCCGGGCGCGGTGGCTCATGCCTGTAATCCCAGCACTTTGGGAGGCCAAGGCGGGCGGATCATGAGGTCAGGAGATCGAGACCATGCTGGCTAACATGGTGAAACCCCGTCTCTACTAAAAATACAAAAAATTAGCCGGGTGTGGTGGCAGGCGTCTGTAGTCCCAGCTACTCGGGAGGCTGAGGCAGGAGAATGGTGTGAACCTGGGAGGCGGAGCTTGCAATGAGCCAAGATTGCGTCACTGCAC